GGCAGGACTTGGTGGCTGATTAGGTGGGGGAGTGGGCGGAGTTAAGGGTGATGCTGAGAAATCTGGCCTGGGTGACTGGGTGGATGCTGGTGCCATGTGCTGGAGAAAGAGATGGTTGGATGGGGTTAGAGGGTGTTGAAGACTTCCATTCCAGTGGCTGAAGAATGTTCAGTGTAGATATACAATAAGGATTTGGCTTTATGGGGAGAAGTTCAGGCTAGACACCAAGATCATGGAGATAACTGCATATAGATGGAAGTTAAAGCACAAGAATAGAAGAAATGGCCCAGAAAGAACCTGTAGAGGGGGTAAAAGCAATGTGCTGGGGATCAGTTCTGGCCTCTGAAGAGCTCACCACCTAAACCTTACCCTTCCTTTGAGGTTCCCTTCAACTAGCACCTCCTCCAGGCAAGGAATGCTGCCAGAAGAGAAATACAAGGTGTTGAGTGGATATGAAAAGACAATTCCCATCCAATCGTCAGGATTAAATGTCTTGTGATGGCACACTGGATTGTGAGGGGGGCTGAGGTAACTGGTAGGAAGAAGAGACGTTCCCCAGGTGGATGTGTGTGCTTGTTCCTTTTCTCCCTGGAGTCTAGTTATACGTACATGACTTATCTCCTCAGTAGACAGTACACTTGCTCCTGGAGGGCAGAGGGTTCTAAATTCTCAGAAGTCCCCAGGGGACCTGAAGAGCCTGGCATATGGTACTCAATATGAATTTGTTGAACACCTGAATGGGAGTGGAGGTAGGGAAGGGATCCCTGGCCAAAGAAAGAGTGTGAGCAAGTGGCCCATGAGTGTGAAACTGCTGGAAATACAGAATACAGAATTGAGTGTGGCCCATGCACAGGGTGCATTAGTGTTGGAGGAAAGGGAAACATGGGAGACTAGAGAGATGGACTGGGGCCAGGTGCTGTGGACTTAAATGCCACTTCATAGGAGCTGGATACCTCTAAGAGCCATGGAAAGCTGGATGAGTGCCAAAGGTAGGGTGGGTCTGAGCAGAGCTGGAGCTTCCTCACAGAAGCTCTTTTTGCTTTCCACTTCACTGTTAGGAAAGCAGTGCTGAGGTATTCGTCATCTCCTCCCAGCTTGCCCTTACTGGATGCTGCCTACAGTGTCCAATTAAGTCACCAGGAGCAAAGTCACTATCAGTTGCAGAAGCCAAACCACCCCTTCCATTTCATTACTCCTGTATCAAAGAGAGAAAGAGGTAGGTCTAAGGTCTGAGGTACCATGAACTCTCAGGCAGGTCTATGAGAAGGGAACCTAGTGAGGAACCCAGTCTCGTTAGGCCATATACAAAGGTTTGAGTTTGCCACTCCACCTACTCTTTGTGGCTCCTGCCCACCATAGGGGAGAAATACAGGTATACCTTGTTTTTATGTGCTTCACTTTATTGCACTTTGGAGATATTGCGGTTTTTACAAATAAAGGTTTGTGGCAACCCGGCATCGAGCAAGTCGTTTGGCGCCATTTCTCCAACAGCATTTGCTCGCTTCATGTCTCTGTGTCACATTTTGGTAATTCTCAAAATATTTCAAACTTTTTCATTATTATTATATATTTTATTATATTTTTCATTATATTGTTATAGTGCTCTGTGATCTTTGATGTTACTGTCGTAACTGTTTTCGGGAGCCACAAACCATGCCCATATAAGATGACAAACTTAATCGATAAATGTTGTGTGTGTTCTGATTGCTCCACTGACTGGCTATTCCCCTGTCTCTCTCCCTCTCCTGGGCTTCCCTATTTCCTGAGACAAGCAATATTGAAACAAGGACAATTAATAATCCCACAATGGCCTCTAAATGTTCAAGTGAAAGGAAGAGTTGCATGTCTCTCACTTTAAATTAAAAGCTAGACACAATTAAGCTTAGTGAGGAAGGCATATCAAAAGTTGAGACAGGCCAAAAGCTAGGCCTCTTTCACCAGTTAGCCAAGCTGTGAATGCAAAGGAAAAGTTCTTGAAGGAATTTAAAAGTGCTACTCCAGTGAGCACACGAATGATAAGAAAGCAAAACAGACTTATTGATGATATGGAGAAAGTTTTAGTTGTCTGGATAGAAGATCAAACCAGCAACAACATTCCCTTAAGCCAAAACCTAATCCAGAGCAAGGCCCTAACTCTCTTCAATTCTGTGAAGGCTGAAAGAGGTGAGGACACTGCAGAAGAAAAATCTGAAGCTAGCAGAGGTTGGTTCATGAGGTCTAAGGAAAGAACCCATCTCCATAACATAAAAGTGCAAGGTGAAGTAGCAAGTGCTGATGTAGAAGCTGCAGCAAGTTATCCAGAAGATCTAAGTAAGATAATTAATGAAGGCGTTTACACTAAACAGCAGATTCTCCATGTAGATGAATTAGCCTTATATTGGAAGGAGATGACATCTAGGACCTTCATAGCTTGAGAGGAGAAGTCAATGCCTGGCTTCAAAGCTTCGAAGGACAGGCTGACACTCTTGTTATGAGCTAATGCAGCTGGTGACTTTAAGTTGAAGGCAATGATCATTTACCATTCTGAAAATCCTAGGGCTGTTAAGAATTACTGCTCTGCTTGTGCACTATAAATGGAACAATAAAGCCTGGATGACAGCAAATCTGTTTACAACATGGTTTACTGAATATTTTAAGCCCACTGTTGAGACCTACTGCTCAGACAAAAAGATTCTTCTCAAAATATTACTGCTTATTGACAAGGTACCTGTTCAGTCAAGAGCTCTGATGGACATGTACAACAAGATTAATGTCATTTTCGTGCCTGCTAACACAACATCCATTCTGCAGCCCTTGGATCAAGGAGTAATTTTGACTTTCAAGTCTTATTATTTAAGAAATACATTTTGTAAAGCTGTAGCTGCCATAGATAGTGATTCCTCTGATGGATCTGGACAAAGTAAATTGAAAACCTTCTATAAAGGATTCATCATTTCGGATGCCATTAAGAACATTTGTGATTCATGGGAAGAGGTCAAATATCAACATTAATAGGATTTTGGAAGAAGTTGATTCTAACTTTCATGGATGACTTTGAGGGGTCAAGACTTCAGCGGAGAAAGTAACTGCAGATGTGGTAGAAATAGCAAGAGAACTAGAAGTAGAAATGGAGCCTGAAAATGTGACAGAATTGCTGCAATCTCATGATAAAACTTTAATGGATGAGGAACTGCTTCTTATGGATGAGCAAAGAAAGTGTATTTTTGAGATGGAATCTACTTCTAGTGAAGATTCTGTGAAGATTGTTGAAACGACAACAAAGGATTTAGAATATTACATAAAATTAGTTGATAAAGCAGTGGTGGGGTTTGAGAGGATTGACTCCAATTTTGAAAGAAGTTCTACTGTGGGTAAAATGCTATCAAATAGCATCACATACTACAGAGAAAAAATTCATGAAAGGAAAAGTCAATCAACACAGCAAACTTCATTGTTGTCTTATTTTAAGAAATTGCCACAGCCACTCCAACCTTCAGCAACCACCATCCTCACCAGTTAGCAGCCATCAACATCAAGGCAAGACCATCCACCAGCAAAAAGATTACAACTCACTGAAGACTCAGATGATTGCTAGCATTTTTAGCAATAAAGTATTTTTAAATTAAAGTATATACATTGTTTTTTTAGACATAATGCTATTGCACACTTAATACACTACAGTACAGTGTAAACATAACTTTATATGCACTGGGAAACCAAAAAATTCATGCGATTCATTTTATTGTGATATTTGCTTTATTGCAGTGGTCTGGAATTGAATCTACAATATCTCCGAGGTAGGCCTGTAGCTTGTAGCTTGAGGCCAGCCAGTCTAATTGCCTGCTAACACAAATGAAACAAAAACAAAAAATCAACATTCATCATAAGAACAGAACAGAAGCAGAATCTCCACACACAAGAAGAACCAGAAAAATGTGAGAAAAACTCAAGAGAAAAGGCAATCAACTGAGATGACCTAGATGTTGGAATTAGCATACAAAGGTTTTAAAAGTAGCTATTACAGCTATGCTAAAGGACATAAAGGGAAATATTCTTGTAATAAATGAAAAGACAGTAAATATCAGCAAAGAAATAAAAATTATAATAAAGAATCAAATGGAAGTTTTAGAAAATTTCAGCACATACAATATCCGAAATAAAAATTTATTGAGTAAGCTTAACAACAGAATGGAAATGACAGAAGAGTGAGAAAAAATGAAGATAGGTTAATAGAAATTGTCCATTCTGAAGAACAGAGAGAAAAACTTAAAGAAAAAAACCCAGGGCCTTAGGGACCTATGGGACATTGTAAAATATCTAAAATATATATAGTTTGAGTCCCAGAAGGAGAGGAGAGAGAATGAACCAGAAAAAATATTTATTTGAAAATATAATGAAAGCAAATTCCCTAATTTTGTGAAAGACATAAAGTCACAGATTCAAGAAGCTCAGTTAATCCCAAGCAAGATGAACACAAAGAAAATCACACCTACCACATCACAGTCAAACTGCTAAAAATCAAAGATAAAGATAAAATCTTAAAGCAGCTAGAGGAAAATGACAAACAAAGGAACCACAATTCAAATGACTGCTCACTACACATCAAATAAAATGGAGGCTCAAAGACAGGGGAACAATATTTTTAAAGTGCTGAAAGAAAACAACCAAAAATTCTACATGCAGCAAAAATCAAGAATGAAGGTGAAATAAAGATTTTTTTTAGATAAAAGATAACTAACAGATTTAATCCCCAGCAGATTTGCATTATAAGAAATGCTGAAGGAAATTCTTCAGGCCGAAGGGAAATGATGCCAGATGGAAACTTGGATCTACAGAAGAAATGAAGAGCATTGAAAATGGTAAATATATGAGTAAATATAAAAAATGATTTTTCTTCCTGATTTCTTAAAAATACATACGATTGTTTAAAGCAAAAGTTATAACATTGTATTGTAGAGTGTATAATGACAGTAAGAGGTAATACATATGACAATTATAGCATAAAAATTGGAAAAGTGTTGACATATATAGTTGCAAGTTTTCCACATTTGACATAAAGTGGTACAATATCATCTCTAAGTAGATTGTGAAAAGTTATGAAGGTATATAATAATTCCTAGAACAACACTTAAAAAGATGTAAAGAGGTATAGCTAAAAATCAAACAAACAAAATAGAAATCTATAATATATCCAAAGAATCCAACAGAAGGCAGAAAAGGAAGAACATAGCAGCAAGCACAAAGGGGAAATAGAAAACAAATAGTAAAAAAAAAAGGACGTAAATCTAAACTTATCAATAATTATGTTAAATATTGTTGTGAGCTTAATTTTATCCCCCCCAACTCATATGATGAAGCCCTAACTGCCAGTACCTCAAAATGTGACTGCATTTGAAGATAGGACCTTTGAAGAGATGATTAAGTTAAAATGAGGCCATTAGGGTGGGCCCTAATCCAAGCTGACTGTTGTCCTTATAAGAAGAGGAAATCTGTACACTCAGCAACACCAGGGATGTGCATGCACAGAGGAAAGACCATGTGAGGACACAGCAAGAAGGTGGCTATCTGTAAACCAAGGAGAGAGGCCTCAGGAGAAATCAAACCTGCCAACACCTTGATCTTGGACTTCCAGCCTCCAGAACTGTGAAGAAATAATTTTTTGTTGTTTAAGCTACCCAATCTGTGGCATTTTGTTATGGCAGCTCAGGCACACTAATAACAAATGTTAATGGCCTAAACACTTGAATTAAAGGGCAGAATGTCAGAATGGATTAACAGAACAAGACACTATTATATGCTTGCTGGAAGAGATGCATTTTAACTATAAAGATAGAAATAGACTGAAAGTAAATGGGTGGAAAAGGACATATACCGTGAAAACAGTGAGTATAAGAAGGCTGCAACTTCTGTATTACTGTCAGATAAAGTAGACTTCAAGTAAAAGAGTATTACCACGAGCGAAGGGAGACATATCATAATGAAGAAAAGATTAATTTACCAGGAAGATATGGTATTCATAAATGTGTATGTGCCTAATAACAGAACTTCAAAATAAACCAAGGTGAAAATTGACAGAATTAAAGAGAGAAACCATAGCTGGAGATTATAACAACCCGTTCTCAGCAACAGATAAAATAACTAGACGAAAATTAGTAAAGACGTAGATGATCTGAATAATGTTATCAACCACCTTGACCTAAATAATATTTATAAAGCCCTATACCCCTAAAAAGAAGAATACACATTTTTTTCAAGTATACATGGTACATTCACCAAGACAGATTGTATGCTGGGCCATAAACCATGTCTAAGTAAACTTGACAGAAATGAAATCATACAGTGGATGTTCTCAGACCACAATGGAATTAAATAAGAAGTCAATAACAAAAAGATAGCCAAAAAACCCTGAAATATTTGGAAATTAAACAATATACTTCTAAATAACATATGGGTCAAATAAGAAATCATAAGGGAAATTAGAAAATATTTTGAACTACATGGCAATAAAAACATAACATATTAAAATTTGTGAGAAGAAGGTGAAGCAGTGCTTAAAGAAAAAGTTATAACTTTTATATTAGAAAAGAAAAATGGTTTCAAATTAATGACCAAGTTTCCACACTAAGAAGGTGGGAAAAGTGGGCAAAGTAAACCCAAAGTAGAAGTTAAGAAATAATAAATAGCAAAGGTCAATGAAACAGGAAAAAAACAAGGGAGAAAATTAACAAAGCAAAAAGATCAACAAAAATTGATAACTCCCTGGATAGATTAATCAGGAAAAAAAGAGAGAGCACAAATTAGCAATACCAAGAATAAAAGAGGGGATATCACTACAGATCCTACAGCATTAAAAAGATAATAATGAAACACTATGAACATCTTTATGGCAACAAATTTGACAACTTGGATAAAATGAACAAATTTTTTGAAAATAACCTACTGAAATGGACACAAGATGAAACAGAAAACAGTTCTGTGAAACATCTCAAATTTTTGTGTATGATGTAGGTATGGGTCGAGAATATCTTCACGACTTGTGGGTAAGCAAAAATTTCTTAGGTAGGGCACAGAAAGTAATAACCATACTATATATATATATATATATATATATATATATATAAAACCATACTTATATATATGTAAGACTTCATCAAAATTAAGTACTTCTGCTCATCAAATGACATCATGAAGATCTGTGCAGATGAATTCCAAATAATTTATGTAGATACTCTGATCCAAAGGAGGGAGAACACAACCTCCTACTCCTTAAGTGTGGGCTGCTCATAGTGACTTCCTTCCAAAGAGGACAGTATGGAAAGGGGGAAAGCAAGACTAACTTTATAGTGGAGAAACCTGACAAACACTACAAACACTTGATCCCTCAGCCAGGGATCAAGGTCAACATCAACAGGGATAAGTTATGTTGATATGATGTAATGAAAATGGCACTATACCTCCATGGTCTTCCATAAACCCATAAGCTCAGTCTAATCATGAGAAAAACATCAGACAAATCCCAGTAGGTGGGCATCCTACAAAATACCTGACTAGTTTCCTTAAAACTATCAAAATCATTAAAAACAAGAAAAGTCTGAGAAACTGTTATAGCCAAGAGGAGTCTAAAGAGACATGACAACTAAATGTAATATGATATCCTTGATAGGATTCTGGAACAGGAAAAGCACATTAGGTAAAAACTAAGGAAATATGAATGAAGTGTGGATTTTAGTTAATAATAATATATCAATCTAGTTTTATTAATTGTCACAAATGTATCATGTAAGGCATTAATAATAGAGGAAACTGGGCGAGGTATATGAGAATTCTCTGTACTATCTTCTCAATTTTCCTATAAATCTAAAACTGTTCTAAATAATAAAATCTATTTTTAAAAAGACATCATTAAGAAAATGTAGAGATGAGTCACTGACTGGGAGAGAGTATTTGCAAAATATATATCTGACAAAGCACTGATATCTAGGATATTAAAAAAACTCCCCAAACTCAATAATAAAAAGACAAACAACTCAATAAAAATGGAAAAAATATTTAAACAGACTCTTCATTAAGGAAGATATACAAGTGGCCAATAAGCACCTGAAAAGATGCTTGACATCATTAGTCATTAGGAAAATGCAAATCAAAGCCACAGTAAGACATCATTACACCCACTTGAATGGCTAAAATTAAAACGAATGAAAACACCAAATGTTGGGGAGGATATGGAGGAACTAGAACTCTTACACACTGGTGATGTGAAAGTTAAATGGTACAGTCATTTCAGAAAATATTCTAGCTCTCAGTTTCTTATAAACTTGAACATACACCTACCCTATGACCAAGCAATTACATTCCTAGGTATTTACCAAAGAGAAATGAAAACAAACGTTCACAAAAAGTTTTATGAAAGAATGTTCTAGCAGCCTTGTTCACAAAAGCCAAAACCTGTTTTAACAGCCCAGGTGTCCATCAGTAGGAGAATGGATAAACAAACTATGGTAAATTCATACAATGGAATACAACTCCGAATAAAAAAGAAAGAAATTACTGATATATGCAACAACATGGTTGAATTTCAAAATCATTTTGTTGAATGAAAGAAGACATTAAAAAAGTACGTACTGTATGAATCCATTTATATGAAATTCTAGAACAAGTCAATCTCGTCTACGGTGGAAAAAAATCAGAACATTGTTTGTCTATGGAATGTGGGAGCAGGGATTAACTGGGAAAGAGCATGAGGGAGCTTGCCAGGATGATGGTAATGTGCTAATTCTTGATAGATGTTTGGTTACCGAGGTGTATGTATTTTTCCAAACTTGTCAAATGAAACACTTATAATTTGTGCATTTCATTATAGGCAAATTTCATCTCAGAATAAAAAAATAACTGTAAACAAATATTAATGGTATTCATACTGAATGCAACTTTGAAATGCATCAAAAATAAGATGGACTGATGGATAGATAGGATGATAAATAATATCTGATAAGGCACATAGCGTAAAATATTACTTGTAGAATCTAAGAGGTGCATAATGAGTGTTGACTGTAAAAGTCTTTCAGCTTTTCTGTATATTTGAAAATTTTTATAAGAAAATTTTGAAAAATAAAAGCCAAATCACAGTTTGGGAGAACATGTAAAAGGAACAAAGGAGTAGTACCCCAGAACACATAAAGCCTCCTACAGATCAGTAAGAAAAAGGCAAACAACTCAATATAAAAAGTAGCAAAATGGCTTAACAGACATATTACAAAAGAGGATATTCAAATGACCAATAAACACCTGAAAAGATGCCGTGGTGGATGCTGTAATGTCCTGGGCAGACTTCTTCAGGAGTTATTCTTGCAGCTGTATGGGTGCTGCTTGCAGACAGCCTTTGGTTCCAACTCCAGTATGAGATTCTCAGCCCAATACAAATGCTGCTGTGGGCTCCAGAGCAGTGCTTCAAATGCCACCCCCTCACCTCACCACCAACCATGTGCAAAACCTTGGATAAGTCACTTAAACTCCCTACAGCTCTGCTTTCTCATCTGGAAAACAATAAGGAATAGAATTATCTTGCCTGCCTTACCAAATTGTCGTGAGGGTAAAAACCACGTTGAAAGCTCTATCTGGCCTGGAGAGTGCTATCTACCTGTAAGTTACGTTCAGTAACAAGAGAAGCAAATGACAGAACTGGAACTCAAACCCAGGACTCTGACACCCTCCCTAGCACCACTGCCCTCGGAGCAGATCCTCTGAATTATCTCCCAGTGCCTGCTAAGATGGAATGCTGTCTACCTAGAGAATCTGTTGTGATGGTCAAACCTAAAGTAACTCACTCTGCTTTCTTAACAATGAAAATTATATTAACAAAAAACTGTTACCAGCTCCTCCCACTCCCAGGTAATGATGCACTGTCATGTACACAAAGTGAAAATTTGTAGCTAATGAAGGATCAATAAGCTGGAAGTCCTCACATAGTTTCATCGGGTGATTCTAGAATGGCTTAATATATGCATTTACAGGTGATTAGAGCTACACAAAGCTCAAGACCATATGAAGGAGCCTCTATTACCCCACCAATGGGGGATGAGCTCCCTAAATTGTGAAATTCTGTTCTCTGACGAGGGTTGGGAGAGTCCACCACAGGAAGAGCCTACTGTGTTTATGACACTCATTAACCCCTGATAGTAACAATAACTGGCACCGCTGCGTCAGTGCCATCTCTGAGTGTGGGACACGTTGCCATAATCAAACTGATACAACACTTTACCTCTGGCCTAGTCCAGGACTTCACTGGGTTATGTACATCTAATATGTAGGAATCAATCCTCAAAAACAGCCCTGAGAGGCAGGTCTTATTATTCTCACTCATCGAATGAGGAAATGGAGGCTTGGGGAGATGAAGGGAGCTGCCCAAGGTCACAGAGCTGGCCAGTGTTGGGGCCAGGACTTGAACTTCATGCCTGTCATGGTCTCTCTTGAGAGTATAGAGCCAGTGCTCCTTCTCCTACACTGTACAGCCTACATGAATACATTCTGGGGAAAGCCAAACAAGATGAGCTTGGCCTCATAGTCTGTGACCAAAAGGGCCCAAATACTACCTACTTACTCATTGACTCCATCTTTAGGTAAACTCTGGATGGACAGTGTTCTCCTGCCCTTTCCAGGGCCACCAGCAGGAAACACGGAAAGGATGCTTGTCTTGAATCCTTCCCTAGGCCCCTGTGCATGACTAACAGTTTGATTAGTTATTTGTGGAGGCCATGCTAGTCTAAATGGAGAACAGCAGCAAGTCACAAGCCCACGTAGCATTCATTAATAGAATCTCAACTCGGGAGTATTTGCTTCATGCCAGCCAGCCAGTCCAATGAAAGCTGTTCTGAAGCCAGGAAGGCCACCTGCCTGGGACAATGGCCTGGGAGCTGGTACCTAGACATGCTGGGTGTGAGCTCAAGGAACCAACATAGCAGCACATCAGATGATTCTTTTCTTTATTACAAACCCTATCCCCATTCCACACAAGCTGAGGCCACAAGGACCCTCAAATTGACCAGAGCTTTTGAGAATGGCTAATGCAGAGCACAGAAGAAAAGTCTGATGGAGAACTTCCAGCTAAGTAAAGGTGGGGGAGTGAGTGGGCAAGGTTTAACCCCTTTAGCTCCCTCCTCTGCCTTCCTGATTGCTACCCCTGCCTGTTGCTCTCCTAGCCAATGGAATCTTCCTCTGAGGGACGAGGCAGCAGTCAGGACTAGGGATTGGCACATGCAGGGGAAGTCCGCACTACCCAGAAGCCTGGCACCAGGTTCAAATTGAGCATAGACAAAGGGCTTTCAGAGGCAAGGGCTGGCAAAGACCAGCTTCTCTTGGGGGACTACCCTCAGGACCCACACATGCTTTTGAAAATTAATGATGCTGGCAAATCTTTAACTTGAATGAGAGATTTTTGATTTCAGAACCAGCAAAAAGTAATAAAGAGCCAAGTGGTATGAGGGAAAGTGCATGGTGTTGGAAGCCAGTCCAACCTGGGTGAGAATCCGAGTTCTGCCATGAAGTTCCTCTGTGGTCTTAGATGAGTAACTGCAAACCTCACTGGACCTCTTGTCTTGTCTGTAAAATGGAGCTAATAAGAGCTATCATTTGTGGAGCATCTGCTCTGGCCAGGCTCTGGGCATGTAAGGAAATTCTCTCATCTCAGCCCCACAACAGCTTTGCAAGGTACACTCTTTCAACGCTGCTTCTCACTCCAGCCTTGCAGCCTGAGAGTCTCTAGGAGGAATGACATTTACATGGCTCCCTCCTCACTCTGTCCCCTCATGGTGCTTGTCTGTGCCCACTCCCGATGGATGTACGGGCCATTTCCACACTCAGATCAGGAACATCTAGCTCTTGGACACTCTACAGAGATGACCCTCATAACCCAAGGTATATATGCAGCTTCTTAATGCTTGTTTTACATGCCAGTTGTTCCTAACCAACTGGGAGTTTCCCATAGACAGGGGTGGGGTTGGCCTCCTTGCTAGAGCCTCAGCACCCAGCCCAGTGCCTGGCACACATACAACCTCAGTAAAGGTATGTTGAATTGATAATGATGTAGACTCTTGCTCTGTCACAGATAACTTCCTTGGTGGCTCAAGAAAGTTAAGATTGTCCCAGGCCCCTGACTGAGGAAGAAGCCCTTAGAGATGGCCTAGTTATTGGCCAGAGAGTGGCTTGCAGCACAGTAACAGGAAGGGATGGCCCAAAGTCACCCAACAAGCAAGGGGCAGAGCATGACCCAGACCTCATGCCTCTTGACCTTGGGTGACCCTGCACCCTGTCCAGTCCTCTGACCTCCTTCAAACTGTCCGAGCTGACTCCAGCAATACCAGAGCCAACAAGGCCCCCAATGGACAGCACTGAAGCCCTCCCCTCAGCAGTTGTGTGCTGGGTGTGGGGCTGGAAGAGGAGCAGAGCTGCTCCCCCATGAGGCCCCAGGTTCCGCCCTGGCTTCGGGCCCTCCCCACTGACCTTGCAGGCACCTCAGGAAATCCCATTCTGGCCACTATCTGCTTCTTCCCAGCATCCGGGCCCCTTTGGTATGACAGGCTTGCTGCCAGCCCATCCCCCAGCTGCTCTACCCTTGGGCCAAAGCCGGCTCAGGGTCCCCAGAGTCCTGGCTAGCAACCAGAGTTTCTTCCCAGATTCCTTCCCAGAGTTCTGAGGAGATAGCCCAGGTCACTGCTGTCCTGTTGGAGCCAATTCCTCATCTGCAGGACCCATGCCCACAGCTTCTCAGCTTTTGAGGTGATGGCTGGGAAAAGCAAGGATTTTAGAGACTGGAAGGCCAGGCTGCCAGTGCCCACCACCCCCTTACCAGCTGTGTGACTTAGGGCAGGCTGTGAAAAAGTCTGCTTCCTGTGGGGCTGAGAAGGTTCAATCAGACAATGCATTTGAAAGGCCCTAGCAATATGACTGGTGCCCACAAGGGGCTCTGTAAATGCCAGCTTTCCTTTCATGGGGAGGACTCTTAACCAGGGGTCCCAGATGGGCTTCAGGAATGCCAGGAACCCCGCCTTGATAGTCTATATTGTGTGTGCATGAGCGTTTTCCTGGGTAGAAGATCCCATGGGAGCCTCAAAGAGGTTCCATGACCTCCCCCCAAGGTTAAGAACCTCTGATCTAGAGGATTTCCTCTCAGGTGAGAAGTACATAGAGCCTAGCCAAGAATCAGCTACCCCTCTCATATGGGGCCTGCATTGAGCCAGCTCAGCAGGTCATGGGGTTCTGAGATATAAGAACCCAAACATTCATGAGGCCCCTGGGCTGGGCCCCAGATAGCCAGACATGGGAGCAGCCCACACTGCAGTGCAGAATGACCCAAAGGTGCACTGAATGTGGAGACCAGAGGAAAGAATAGTGGGGGTGAGGGGAAGGGGTTTAGCAAGGGCAGGAGACAGTCAAGGCATAATCAACAGTACCTTGAAAGATAAACTGGCTCCCCAAAGGACAGAGCAGCAAGGACCAAGGCCCAGAGAACATAGGACAGAGCAGCACAGGATATTTTGAGAGGTAGTCTAATACAATGGTTAAAATCATGGGCTCTGAAGCTAAACCACCCAAGTTGGAATCCTGGCTCTGCTTGGTGCTAAATCGTCATGCCCCTGGGTAAGTTACTGCACTGCTCCAAGCCTGTTTCCTTATTTATAAAGTGGAGATAATGACAGTACCTATGTATAGGGTTGCTGCGAGGGTTAAATGAGTGAACATAGGTAGAACCCTCAGAATAGGGCCAGGAACCTGGCAAGCACTTCCTATGTGCTTGCTATTATTCCTACTCAGTCCAGTAAGGCTAGAGGGTGGGGCTTGTGGATGAATGCAGTGAGAGGTGAAGCTGGACCAGTAAGCTGGAGTCACATAGGCTGGGCCGAGTCTGGGATTGAATCTGTACATTCAGGAATGCAATTGACTGTTTCTGAAGAGAGAACTGACATGAGCTGATGTGTGCTGTATGAAGGTCATATGAATATGATGGATGCAGAAGCAGGTCATTCAGTTAGCCAGTCAGCCAGTCATTCATTCCCTAAATTCTTACTTGTGCCAGGCTCATAATGAACGTAAAAGAAGAGTTTCTGGGAACTAGATGCTTCAAACACCATGTGTGGGGCTGATTTTGTGACCTGGAGCTGCTTGAACTTCACCCCCTTCTCCCTAGTAGTGCAGCACACCTCTGTGAGGGGAGGCCAGGGCCTGGGTGTGCACGATGGGGTGGAACCCCCAGAAGCATCTATCCATGGTCAAGAAAGCTCATCCTGTTAACACCACGTCCTTGCCGGCAGAAGGAGTCTGTGGTAGACAGAATAATAGTCCCCCAAAGATATCTGTTGTAATTCCTGGAACCTGTGAATATGTTACCTTACAGGGAAAAAGGTACTTTGCAGATGTGATTAAATTGAAGATCTTGAGATGGGGAGATTATTCTCGATTATCTGGGTGCGTTCAATGTAATCACAAGGGTCCTAGTAAGTGAAAGAGGGAGGCAGAAGAGTGGATCAGAGTAAGATGTCATATGGAAGCAGAGTCACGGAGAGAGGGGTTGGGGGGACTGAAATTTGAAGATACTACGTTGCTGGCCTTGCTGGAGGAAGGGGCCATGAGCCAGGGAATGGAGGCGGCCTCTAGAAGCTGGAAAAGGCAATGAAGCAGACTCTCCCCTAGAGCCTTCCGAAGGAATGGAGCCCTGCCCACACCTTGATTTTAGTCCAGTGAGACTCATTTTGGACTTCTGGCCTCTGAAACTGTAAGATAATAAATGTGTGTTGCTTTAAGCCACTAAATTTATGGTACTTTGTTACAGTAGCAATAGGAAACTAACACAGAGTCCAAAGGAAAAAAGGAAAAAGTAAATCCATGTATGAAATCTATTTTAGAAATAGCACCAAACCAGGTGAAAGAAAACCTCAGGGAAATTAAAGCTTATTTAGCAAGTGCTCTGGGGGAACCTGGAATGTGCACATGAAGGGAAATCCACCTAAATCTTTACCTCTCCTTGAATAATCCGATTTATTCCAGATGGGTTACAGAATGAGATACATGGGGAGAAACTAGAAGAAAGTGAAAGGGAGGATAGGATGGTGAAGGTCTTGAAATCATGACAGAAAAGGAATGAACGATAAGCCTAGAGAAAAGATGAGGGGTCCATGGGTGCTGTCTTCATCTACGTCCAGAGCTGTCATGGGAAAGGGCACACAGAGGAGAGGACCAGGATGGTGGGTAGACACTTCTGGGAGAGAAATCTCAGCTCAGAGTAAGGAGAACTCTCCCAACAATTGGCACTGTCTGAACCTGGAAGAGGCTGCCTTAGGAAGCATGGTCTTCGAGGTATTTCAGCAGAAACCTAGTTCTGGAGAAGGAGTTCCGGCACTGGGAAAAGGGTTTTGGAACTGACAGGTGCCTCCCTGATTCTAGGTTGTGTCAGATACCTTCTACAGCTTTGTGAAGATTGAAGCAATCAGTGCTCTTTTCTGTCTGGACTTGAGATAAAAAAAGAAACTAGTATCAGTCCAGAGACCAATTCCTCTCAGCTCCCTGACACATGCAATATCAGAGAGAATACACAGAATCCATGAAGCCTGAAGTGTGTCCATGGATATCACCCCCAAACAAGTCCTCAGAACTCCTGTGAATTAAAAGTAAAGGTTAACAGATTTGCCTAAATGAGCTGTGGCACCATGTCAAATGGATTAGTCTCTGCAGTGCTGCACTCTGGGAGTGGAAGCAAGCAGAGGGGGAGGGGCAGAGGGGCTTTACTGTGGCTAGGAAGGACGACAAGGGAACTTCAAGGCTGGTGCACCAGTGAGACAAGCCAGACCTCTACCCTGGCCCAGCTTCCCCCTCATTTCAACATGTTTGGGTGACCAACCAGTGCCACCTCCTGCCCAGCAAGTTAACTTCACGGCTGAGCAGGGTCATCCTGAGGCCAGGGCCTTCCTTATGTTCCTCCACCTCTGCAGAGCTGCCAAAAACAGCCTCAATAAGAACCATAGGCACTTGACTTAGACTACTTTGCAGATGAGGAAACTGAGACAGGGAGGTTAGAGAACATACCAGAGTCAGGAGGAGGACAAGAGGTTGCTCATACTGTAACCTGCCCCAGCTCCCTCAATAGCCCACAAAATCATGCTTCATGAAAGAGGAAGGGGCCTGGGAGTAGCCATCCCTTCCCCTCTGTTTGCACAGGAGGAAGCTAAGTCTCTTACTGGGCTCACAGCACGGCCTCCCTCCTGCTAGGCCTTCCTCCCCCAATTTCAACCTGCTCTGATTTATATCCTGAAAGAAACCCCACCTTAAATACTAGACAAACCCTGGCTCAGTTCTGGAAGACGTGTGCATAACCTAATTGAGATTTGAAAGTCACAAAACCCTGATCCCCCTCACCCAAGGGTTGCATGTCTCCCCTCCTTTCTCTAGACACACCCTCTTTGTTTCTTCTGGCCTACAAAATGCTTCCAAACCCTCTTCCCCAGAAGAGGGCGGAAGAACATGGCAAGCCAGCTGCTTGGCTGGTTCAAGTCAATCTGACATTGAAGGTCTGTGAGGTATAATTTTTCCTTTCTTCAAGCAAACACAATTTAGAGTCCCAGTCATAACATCTTGCTGTCTGACAGTCCACATAGTTCATTGACAGCCTGCAGAGTGCCCCTTCTTAGGAAAACCTTCCCTCGAGCCGCAGTGAGGTTCAAGATCAGCTGAGTACCAGGCTAGAAGCACGGCCTGTCTTTAGTTCTGCTCTCATAAGCAAGTAAGGAAGTGTTGGAAACCTGGCTTTTGTGGCTTTTGTTACTTCACTGGACCCTTGAGACAGCCCTGGGAGGTGGCTGTGTGACCCCAAGCAAGTCACCTCACCTCTCACAGCCTGTTAACTCAAGGGTTAGTGGATGGCAGTATTACTACCACATAGAAAGCACTCAATAAGACTATGGTGGCCCTGTGATGACCAGTGGCACCATCTACCACTGTCCTCACCACAGGACGTACATATAGGGTGCCTCCCATGGGATAGGGTCTGTGCCAACTGTGCACAGAGATTAAGCTGCCGTGTGGCAGGATGCATTGCCTCCAATTTACAGAAGAGGGAACTGAGGCTCAGAGACATTGAGTAACTTGCCTGAGATCTCTCGACTAGGATACGTGGGAGTCCAGGGCCCACCCTCCCAACTGTTCCTGCTGCACCGCTTCCAAGTACTGCTTTACCAAAGACTGTGGTAATGGCGGAAGCCCAGGTATGAGTCCCAGGACGAGACCTCCACTGGCCCTGCCCAAGTGGGGCTTTCTGGATGGGGGCCTCTCCCCTGCTCACCCTACCTGAGAGAAGCCCTTTCGTGAAGTAAGCCACCCCCCATGGTCACTGCCTCCTCCTGCTCTCAGGCCACACTAAGGGCTCTCCCACATCCAGCCTGACACACCCAGGGTTGCCAGGCCCAGGAGCCTGGATCCACCCTGGGCCCTGCTCACCCTGCACTCAGCAGAGCTGGCCAAGCATACACATCCATGAAGATAGCTAGGTAGCCACATATGGGGCTTGTACCATTTAATGAACTTTGTTTTTCAAATATGGTAAAAGGTGCATTAACCACATGATGCCAGAGCAAAGAAGAAAGAAGAAAAAGAAGGTTGGGAGTTAATTTTATGGATGCACGTAAGAGGCTTGAAATGATAGAAAATGCATTTCAAAGCATGCATAGTATCACAGCTCTGTCAAGTAGCAAAAGAGGAGACAAAAACAGAATGACAACATTAGGTTACTGTTTCTCCTTTAAATCTTTGGGGGTTAGCCATCACTGAGGAATGAAAATGTATGAATTTGTCTGTAATTTCTTCTCTGCTAAAATCTGAAATGCTAATGTAATTTTAATGTAGTTTAATATAATAATGAGTCCATTCTAAGAGTCCAATTCACTCTTAGTATGTACTTTAGCATAAAAGACTTTTTATCGTTACCATATCCATTTTATTTCATTCATTCATCCACTCATTCATTCATTCAATAAATATGTGCTGGGGTCCTATTCCACGCCAGGCCCTGGCTGGACCCTGGCAGGAGGGGAAAGAATACAGACGCACATCAGGGCTAGGCGCTGACCATGAGCCTTGTGGTCTAGCAGAGGAGACAAGGCAGGGACCTAAATAATCAAGTGGAACATGGTCACAGTGCCCCAGGAATAGCAGGGCACTAGGCTGGAGATTCCAAGGAGGGATAGAGGACTTGCAGCTAGAAAAAGAATTTAGGAGGCCTGCCCAACCCTTGGCTTCTCATGATGACTAGGAAGGGGATGTAAGCCTGCCTGGCAACGTGGGCCGGACAGAGTCCTGCTTTCCAGTCCCAGCTTGGCAGCAAGCAAAGTGTGCAGCCTGGGGTGAGTCCCTGCTTCCCTCTGGGCCTGTTTTCTCAAGTGCGAGCTAAGAGCTTTGGATCTCACGAGGCCTACAGGTGCGTCCAGGGTGAGGAGCCTGAGCCTGAGTCCCAGATGTCTGGGCTTCAAATCGCCGGCCTCTCAGTCATCTTTTTGTTATTTCCAACCACACATCAGCTCCCATCAGCTCAGCCTTTGAGCGAGAACCATGGAAACTGGGAAGAAGGGCTGAGCTTAGTAGGTGGCCAAACTACTTTCTGTTGCCCTCAAGTCTTGAGAACATCAATGAAAGACCTTTGTTCCCAATACGTCCCCAGGCAAGAGTGATGTCAATGCCAATAATGTCAAAATGTCCAGCAAACAAATATCCTTCTCTCTCATCCTCCCTCCCTCCCCATCCCCTTTATCAGGTAAAAAGAAAATACGCCAGAAGGGATGAAATATAGCTCCAGTGAGCTGATAGGTAAATTAACCGGAATACAGGAGCTCTCTTGAGGGCCATTATGACTGGCCACTCTTGGGGTTTCCTGGATACCGCAGGGAACCAAGGCCCCTCTTGAGCAGCTTAGCAGGCAGATGGTTCTGCCACTCATGATGGCCTCTGAGCACTGGGCTGGAAGTCTCTGAGTAGAGAGGGCTGTGGGCTCAGAAGGAGCTGATTTCACCCTCTACTACTCTTCTAGACACTTCCAAAGGGTCGGTGTTATTGATACACACCTCCATACCGACCTTGACCCTTAAATTCCTTTGAGGATTAATGGCACATCAAGACTCCTCCTGGGGGCTCACTCCCTGTATTCATTTCCTAAGGCTTCCATATAAATTGCCACAAACTGGGTGGCTTAAAACAATAGAAGTGTATTCTCTTGCATCGTGGAGGCCCAAAGTCCAAAATTAAGGTGTCACCAGGGCCACACTCCTTCCAAAAGCTCTGGGGTAGAATCTTTTCCTTGGCTCTCTCCTAGCTTGTGGTGACTGTCAGTAATCCTTGGTGATTACTTGCACCCACCTTACTGAAATAAATCTCTGCCTCCATTTTCACACGGCTTTCTCCTCTTTTTCTCTCCTCTTCTGTCTCTCGCAAGGACACTCGTCATTGGATGCAGAGCCCACCCTAAATCCAAAATGATCTCATCTCAAGATCCTTAACTTAGTTACATCTGCAAAGACCTTTTTTCCAAATAAGATCACATTCACAGGTTCTGGGTGGACACCCAGAGGGGTGTCTTTTGGAGGGACACCACTCAATGCGCTATACTCCTCTCAGAGCTGTTGTGTTTTTGAGAACCAATTGGCAGAACTCAGACAAAGAGAGACTCTGGCCTGGGCAATTGGTTCTCTCATTACTTCTATTGGACAAGAGCATTCTGGAAGACTCAGCTCACAAGACTCCTTCCAGTAGAGCAAAGCATGAACTCTGGAGCCAGGCTCCCTGAGTTTGCATCCTGGCTCTGTCACTTCCTAGATGCTTTATGAACCTAGGCAAATCACTTCACCTCTCTGTGCCTCAGTTTCTTCATCTTTAAAATGGAGATGATAACAGTGCATACCCCACAGGAAGAGTAAGGCTCTGTTAGTGTTTGCTATTATTCTCAGTATCCTGCTGTGATCACTACTGAGGCAAATGCATATTATCCCACCCATATACCCAAAAGCAGAAGCATACCTGGAGCACATTAGAATTGGAAGCAATCCTAGAGACCATCGACTCTCCAACAGCCTCAGTCAATAGAAAAACAGAGGCTCAGACGGTGCAACTGACTAGGCATTTATATAAAAGGATGCTCTTTTATATAGGAGGTGTCATGATAATGAGACTGTTTTTAAGCAAAGGAACCAACATTTACACCATCAAGGAAATGTCTTCCTTGAAAGTCATCCCCTTGAGAGGCTTTACATGTTTTCTCACAGCTGCTGTTGCTCAAACCCTGTGGGGCTGTGGAGGTGGCCCTGGGAGACAGTTCATGAATCATACTACCCTTTGTAGCCAAATCCAGCCTTCCCTGGTTTAACCAACCACCTTCTCCATATTCTCTCAGAAAGCCTTTTGGGTTACTGACAGTCAAACCTACCCTCAAATGATAAATAGCTGTTCCAGGAATGGCTGGCCAGCTCTGAAGGCAGACTTCTAAGACAAGTCCCACAAATGAGCACTGAGCACTCACTTAAAGCCCCACATGGGAGGTTTGAGGACAGCAAGCCTGCTACCATTTCCCAGTACTGCCACATCCCTTACCTCATTTTGTCCTCAACAAGCCTGTGGCTGCATGCTTTACCATCCCTTTACTAATGAGGTAACTAAGAAGCAGAGAGGGTGACAAGCTTTTCCAAGGTCACAGCTAGTCCACGGCAAAGGGGAAAGTTGAACTCAGACTTTCTGCTTCCAAGTTTATCAATCTTTCTGCCATCCCAGGATGAACACATGGCATTTCTCACATGTTTAAAATAATTTTCTGATTTTCTACTTTGTCCTTATTCCCAGTTTGAACTTGGAAAAAACAAGGATCGGTCTGCCGTATGCTCCAGGCTGAGCCGGGTGCTTTGCTTTGCAATCAACAACTGTGTGTGCAAATACTAAGAAATGCCAGGGCAGCGTGGTGCCACTGGCCTTGAAGGTGTCCTAGTCTCTACAGTTTTAGGTTTCCCTCTGTCCATCTGTAAAATGGGCATAGTGATAACAGAAGAGAGAGGGTTGGCCTCAGAGGGACTTAGGGAATCCTGATTTTTCCTAGGATTAGCAATTGGAAGTGTTCTCCAGCAGGGGTACACAGGGGTACGTTTGAGCTGTCCTACAAATAACAGCACTTGCCCAGGAATGAGGTGGCACTCAGAGTCCTGCAAGATAAGTAAATGGGCCTGGATGGGTCACTAGCAGAAGATGCTAGTGCAGAGCAGATGGCCACAGGGATGGCTAGAGCAGATGGCCACAGGGATGTGCACGTGATTCTTGAGCCTGAACCAAGGCTGCTCCTCACGATGGCTTTATGAAACTGGAACAAAGCGAGACAGGGAGAGAGGCAAGGGGGAGGGGGACAAGTGCATTTTCTTATTCTATGTAGAAAAATAGGACATTTTAGGATGGAAAGAGGCCAGAAAGCCCACTGAGAGCTGCCTCCTCTTTTCCAAGCCCTGAGCTCTGGCGCATTATAATTTCTCTCCTAATACTTATCGAACCATTTATAAAGCAAAAACATCCGTTCCCACTAGTGGCTTCTATTATTGCCTGTGGTGGATTTTCCTGTACTGTAACCATCCTTTCTGGGAGGAGATGGCAGTGCCTTTCCCTGGGTGATGAGCTGCCCGAGTGAGGCTATTCCTCCACCGGGCTTAAGCTGCAGAGCCTTACTGTCCTTTCCTCAATCCCCCGGGGCCTCTGGTTCTCACTCCCCAGCAAGCGATGCTTGCCATTCTCCATCCCATTTCAGAATACAATCCTAGTCCCTGGATCATTAAAAGGGAAATCTTTTCCCCCAGGAGGACCTACAGCCTTTGCATATCCTTCTCCACAGGAAAATTCCCCCTCACCCCAGAGAGAAAAGGTGCCTAAGCCTCCCTGGGAGTTTATTTTCCCATGAGGCTTTGCCACCAACTTGGAGAAAATTCCTGGACCCCAAGTGAGGTTGCCTATTTCTGCTTTTTTCCCCCAAGGCTCTTTCCCATTCTGCTAGTTTCTGGCCTATGCCAGAGCTGGTCCATAAAGACAAATTGTTTTTTAATCATCAGTTACCTTTCTGAGTGTTTGGGCTTACTTCCTGGTCCCAGCTGTGAGAATTAAATCAAACCAGTCCTGGTGAGGAACATAGAGTTTCCTGTACTTTGCCTTGACATGCTCCCCACCCCCCAGATAAAGTTCTGTGTTTGAGAAGACTGTGCCTATTGAAGGAGATAAAGAGGAGAAGATATAGGGACAAACTTCACTACTGCATCGTGGCCAGAAGTGTGCTGTCCCTTGCCTCCAGGAAGGTACCTCTGCAGGGCCAGGCACCCTCCACTGGGCTCCAGCGTTGCCCCATGTAGACTCTATCATCACCCTTGCCATGCTGTGCTCTAATTGTCTGTCTACTCATTTCCTAACCCCAGGAGGCAGAGGGAGGTCTTTGAGGAGAAGTCCACAGTCTTAGTGTCACTAGTCTACCCAGAATAGAGCAGAAGGCCTGACTGGAGCAGGTGCCCTGTAAATAAATATTGGTTGAATGAATGAGGAAAAACATAACCAAGGAATCTTTAATATGGTGTCCAAGCAAAATTAAACAAAGAAATAAGAGAGAATCGGGTCAGTAGGTCTATCCGTCCCTGGCAGCACCTGACCCTCACAGCCAGGCTCGGGGCCTCTCCCCACAGTCTCAGCTCTGACCTTACCCTAGCCCCAGAAGGGTCCACTCAACAGCTTCTATCTTGCTACCCCAGAGCAGGCAGTCAGTGGGGCTAGGGGAGCCTCATTCCCCTGAGCCTACAGAGCCACAGACTTTCCCGACTCCAGCTATATTGGCCAAGTCCTCAAAGATGAACTTCTGCCTTGGTTTCTGTGCTTAGTATTCCAGATTCTTGCTGGACCTGGATCCC